CCCCTCATCTTAAAAGTCGTGTGAGACCAATTAGATACTGGAACATAACAGGAAATGATCTTTTTTCAGTTCTTGTAAAAAGTCTTTTAAGCCTTAACTTAAACCACGTATCGCAACTGCAACGGAGACGACTACCAAAGGACCAGACTGAAGATTTGTTATTTAATGAGGTAAGAACAGACCTTCACACACACACATATCAGTCACATACACATATAGTCTCCTGCAATGTCCATTTCACCCCTCGTTACCTTACCAGCCTCAGTAAGACTCCGCAACTCACGTTCGTGACGTAGACTCTTTTCCCTTGTTCAAATCCTCGAAACTCATTATTGTTACACAGAACATTTTCCTCCAAAAAATTCAAGAATCTCAATGTAAATGTCCAAGTTAACAGCAGGTAAAAATAAATAGGTCTAGTGTTCGATGTGGCTCTTATTTCAATCATTATGTGTTTGTGTGTGTTTGTGTGTGTTTCAGGTACTGGATTGTCACGTTCCCTGCAGAGTTCAACCTTGACCTTGGTCTGATTAGGATTACAGAAGAGTTTAGAGGCGTTGCGGCTCATCTCGGCAGCGAGGAGCATTTCAAACTCATCGACATCTCCACCATGTAAGATATTTTGCGTTAGCAATGACAGTTTTTTTTTTTCAACAACTTCAGGTCAAGCACCCAGCTAACGGCAGGCTAGCTAGGCCTTACTAAGGGCAGGACAGGACAGGAAAAAAAAAGAAAGCAGTTGTCACCAACTGTTTTTTTTTTCTTTTAGTCCTTCTTACGATTGGATGCGGAAGCTGACCCAGAGAAAGAAGCAGACTAAGAAAGGCAAGGCCTCGCTGCTGTTCGACCACCTGAAGCCCATCGAGCTGGCCGAACACCTCACCTTTTTGGAGTTCAAGTCCATCCGGAGGATATCGGTACGCTGAGCGAGACCTTGGAAGACGTGACGTTGTTGTTGTGAGCCTCCTCGAAAAGCTTTAACAAACTGATGTTCCAACGTCTTCATTCCCCAGTTCACCGATTACCGCAGCTACGTGATCCACAGTTGCCTGGTTGACAATCCAACTCTGGAGCGGTCCATCGCACTCTTCAATGGAGTTTCGCAATGGGTCCAGCTTATGGTACTGAGCAAGCTAACGCCTCAAACCCGTGCGGAGGTCATCACCAAGTACATCAACGTGGCTCAGGTAAGAGACGGACATTGTACCTGCGCCGTTTCAGCGTGTATGTTTATTATACCTGTATAATTATATCATTTTTCGTATAACCTCATCGTGATTGATTATCTTCGAATCATACCTGTCACGCATTCAGTTCATCCAGCTAAAAAAATTCCCATCTCAGCCCTCCTCTGTCACTTCAGGTGTGCCCCAGGGCTCTGTCCTGGAGCCCCTTCTCTTCATCATTTATCTTCTCCCAACTGAGATCATCCTCCTCCTTTATTTAATTTAATTTAATTTAATTTAATTTTATTTTATTTTATTTTATTTTATTTTATTTTATTTTATTTTATTTTATTTTATTTTATTTTATTTTATTTTATTTTATTTTATTTTATTTTATTTCATTTTATTTTATTTGTTAAGTTAATTCATTACGCTCACACCCGTTCTCCTTCCCCTTTTCCCTTCACTTCAATCAGGAACTTCTGCACCTCCAGAACTTCAACACGCTCATGGCGTTGGTCGGAGGACTGAGTCACAGCTCCATATCCCGACTTAAGGAGACTCACTCCTATCTGGCTCCGGAGGTCATGAAGGTAAGGCTGTGGTGAGGGAGTAACTCAACTTGACGTTAAGAGGGTCTGATGTGTACTAACTACTCTACCTTCAGGTGTGGAGGGAGATGACAGAGTTGGTGTCTTCCAGCAACAACTACTCCTGTTACCGTAAGGCCTTCAGTGAGTGCCAGGGCTTTAAGATACCCATCCTGGGCGTGCACCTCAAGGACCTGATTGCAGTGCACGTGGTCTTCCCTGACTGGGTGGACGACAATAATAAAGTCAACCTGGTGAAGATGAATCAGCTCTACGTGACGTTTTCGGAGCTGATGTCTCTGCAGAGTGCAGCCGCGCAGGTTGAGCCCGACATGGACCTGATCTACCTGCTGACGGTAAGAAGGGCATCCTTCATAGGTTTTTGTCACTTCGACCCTCAGGTGGGTCGTAAGAGATTTTTTTTTTAGGGTCGTCTCGCATCATGTTTCGAAGGTTTGTGACTTTTAAAATATGGGTCCCCAGAAAAAACAGTTTGGGAAACACTGAACTATAGTGTATAGTTCTAGCCATAGTGTAGGACAAGGGTGTCAAACATATGGACCGCGGGCCAAAACAGGCCCACTAGGGTGTTCAATATGGCCCACTTGATGAATTTTCATACTGAAAAAAAAGCAAAAACACTTCATTTCAGAGATGATTTTTCAAATGATATTTCAATAAATATGAATATTTTCCAATATACCTGTACTTACTTTGCATGAAAGAAATCAGCAAATATTGGACATTGTTATTTATAGGTAATTATGTTGCGATTGTAGTGGTCCGGCCCACTTCATATCTTAGTCTTTGAACCTAAACGAGTTTGACACCTTTGATGTAGCGGTTATCACATCTGCCTTACAAGCAGAAGGTTAACGGCGCCTCCTGTGGCAGACTGTGTTGGTTGCGACAACTCTGAACTCTGACACTGTGAATTCCTTAATTGTGAGTTGAATTAGGGATTTTTTTTTTTTTCATATCGATGTTATAACCCCAGATATTGTGTGTTCTGAACTGCGTGTACGTGTTTGAACTTTCTTCCTCTGTTTTCTAGCTTTCTTTAGATCTTTACTACACAGAGGACGAGATTTACGAGCTGTCGTTGCTCAGGGAGCCTCGTAACTCAAAATCACTGGTATGTTTTCATTTTTTTTTTCGTTCTTTTGTCCCTCCCGCCCCGCGGCTATTTGTAGCAACCAATAAATATTTGCTAGGAGGCGCAGTAAAATGAGACAGTTTACAGAAACTTCTTCCTTGATGGTCTTCATAAAGCAAACGATGGAATTATTTAGCGATTTTACCGAACCAAAAGTCACGTAAAAACACATGAATGGATTCGTCATTTATCATTATACAGCTTGCTTCGCCAACGACTCCCAACAAGCCTATGGCTCCCCTGGACTGGGCCTCCGGCGTCACCACAAAACCAGACCCGACAGTGGTCAACAAACACATCAGAAAAGTGGTGGATGTAAGTCGACCGCATTACGTTTAAAATGCGGTAACGCAATAAATTATTTGTAAAACATCCACGCACTATCGGACTCACGGTTTCTGGTCTGGCTTTTTGAAGTCTGTGTTCAGGAATTACGACTACGATCACGACGGTTATATTTCTCAAGAGGACTTTGAGAGCATCGCTGCTAACTTTCCTTTCCTGGATTCCTTCTGTGTTTTGGACAAGGATCAGTGAGTGTGCATGAGTTATTCAGTCCTATACATTAAATCAGCATTTCTTCTCATTCTTCTCATATTTTACCATGCCACTAAACCTAGATCATCATATTGTGAAAGTAAAAGTTTGAAAACATCGCCCCCTGTAGATCTAAATACTCTAATGTCTCCTTACCTTTTGGTCTTTTAGAGACGGACTGATCAGCAAGGATGAAATGATGGCCTATTTTCTTCGCGCTAACCCAGTGCAGTGTAAAATGGGACCAGGATTCATCCACAATTTCCAGGAGATGACTTACCTGAAGCCCACCTTTTGTGAACATTGTGCTGGATTTGTGTGTATATTTTATCCATTTATTTTCCTGCTACTAAAATGCAAAACAACCATGATATTATACCCTTGGTAATTTTCTTTTTTTTTTTCTTTTTCTTTTTTCAAACATGCTGATTCACTGTTGGGAACTGCAGTTGTGGGGAATTATCAAACAAGGCTACAAGTGCAAAGGTACGGCGTCTCACTAAGCAAGACTCATGTATTTGGTGTTTATTCTATAAAGTATACAAATATGAAATACCTTGACTGTGGTATGCAAAGAATTATATATTATTATATATAATTTATATACTGTATATACATATATACATACACACATATACAATTCACATTTTTAAAAATTGATTATTAATAGTTACACATATACTGTATAGTCAATAGCAATAACAAATATTTTAATTTTTTTTTTCCTTCTTTCTCATTTCCGTAACGATATGCGTCACAACGCAATGACTTCATGATAATGACCAACATATGTGTGTGTGTATATATTTATTTGTATATTTACATAATATTTCTGGAGGATGTTTTTTTTGACAGCAAGGTTGTCAGTGGCAGCACCTTTGATCCTAACTCAAACCGAAAAGAATTTAACGAAAAATTTTACCGTTGCAGACTGTGGCGTTAACTGCCACAAACAATGTCGAGAGCTGTTGGTTCTGGCCTGTAGGAAGCTTCTGCGCTCGGGTTCTGTGGGCAGCGCCAGCCCTGCCAGACTGTCCCACAGTTCACTGCCCAGCAGCCCAACACTGCCCACCTGTAAAGGTCAGGTGAAAGAATCGCCGAAAAATGACACTTTGGTTTGTGATAAGTGATATGTGGAGAACCAGAGGCTCATTGAACAACACAGCCATTAATAAAACATCACGTTAAGGTCCTATATCAGGGCGTGTCAACATCACGTTAAGGTCCTATATCAGGGGGTGTCAAACATATGGCTTGCGGCCCAAAACTGGCCCACTTTGGGCTTCAATCCGGCCCGCTGGATGAATTTAAAAAAAAAAAAAAATCATGTTCAGGAAATGTTTTTTAAAATTATATTTCATCAAATAAGAAGATGTATTTAATGTACTTCTATGCGTGAAAACAAAGGGGAAAACATGGACTAATTGTTATTTATAGGTGATTATGTTATGATTGTACTGGTCCTCCCTTCCTTACATCTAATTTGGCCTCTGAACTAAAATGAGTTTGACACCCCTGTTCTATATTATTTAGTCAAAAGGCTGCAAAAAAAGTGGAAAAGTAAATGTATTTACATGCCTAAAGCTTTTTTTTAAATTAAGAGAATATTATCAGTGTGTACAGCCTTTACATTATCATCAGTCCTTACCCGTATATGTTTTCTCCTTCAGATGAGGACGAGGTGTTCAAGTTCCCGTGTGTCTCTGCAGCCAGTGCCACTCAGGGCACTCAGTCCATCACCCTGATGACTGGTTCAGCTCAGAGGATCTCAGTGCGTCTGCAGAGGGCCACCACGAGTCAGGCCACGCAGACCGAGCCCCTTTGGCCAGGACACAGCTGGGGCTCCTCACACAGTGGCCCTCACACTTTCCCCAAAATGAAATATAGGACTCACAGGAGGTCTTCTAAAAACAAAGGTGTGGCTACGCGGGATGCGCTGAATGGCAAGCAACACCAGGCGGTGACATCACGATGTAGCTTGGAGTCTCAAGAAAAGTTTGATGTCTCACAAGAGCTCGTGCAGAACGGGGTTACGCCCAGACATGAGGTAATCAGGTCTTTATACACCAGGGGTGATTTCGTCCCATTTTTGGTCGTTTTTTTAGTAGGATTATGAAACCAAATTCTATTAAAGTCTATTGAAGGCATGGGCAAACTAAGGCCCGGGGGCCAGATGTGGCCCGTTAATCCTTTTTTAATCCGGCCCGCCAAACTTTTCCAAAGTATATAATTTATTAATATTATCATTATACTTATACTGCCTTTACTCTGCAATACCCATGTTTCCCCAATAGATGGTGTATAAAATGGTAAAAGCATTTTAGCATTTTAGCCTTTTAGCCTTTATGCATGACTTTTACATGTCATTTATCTTATTTCACACGAACGCTCCATTTATCTGCTCCTGACCTATATATATATATATATAATTCTGCAATTTACTCACACTTTCCTTACTAAGTGTGGAGCCTGGCCTGTTCAGTTGAACACTGCAGATATATGAGCAGGAATTGAAGAAACACACCTATGCAAGGCTCTCGCAAAAACAGTGACTGTGAGTCTGCCACAGTTCCTGACAGGTGACATCAATGTGTCTTATCCTCTCCTTCAGAACAGCTGACTTGTCGACGGTCCAATCCAAGGCTCCAGAAACTCACAAGCTCCAGGAACCAGGATGTTCTCCTCTCTGGGGCAGGCGCTGAGCTGCCTGAGGTTCCCCTTCAGTGACCTGAAGTCACTGTCTTGTCTGTAGCCCTCAGAACAGACAGACAGAGCTGCATGAGAAGACTACCGTATGGGGCACGGTATCGCCACCTGCTGTAAATCAATGAGGATTTACAGCCTTCGGCGGGATCCCTCAGGATGTAGTACGTCTGGAATGAACATGAAATAAACACAAAAGTAATGAAGTGTTGTGAACAGGAACGGTGACAGCAAAATTGTTTACTAAATGCAAATTTGCTGACGTTGGACTCAAGAGAAGACATTAACATACTCTGACATAATATTTAACTGAATGTATTACAAATAAAATGAAGGCGTCTGGTGAGAGCATCTGTCTGCTCAAGGAAAATCCATCCATCCATCCATTTTCATCCACTTATCCGTTACCAGGTCGTGGGGTCAGCAGTCTCCACGACCGCCACCCAAATCACACTGCACCGTACCAACCCCTCTGAACCTTCCTGCGGGTGGTGAGTCCACTGGAAGGTCCCAACCGCCCTAACCGGGATTGGATCTTCCCCAGGAGGTGAACCCGGGGGTTCCACACCAATGACAGAGACATTGCCTCTGGGCCAAAGCGTCACCTCAAGGAAAATGTTTTTAAAAAAATTGTTTAATTCTAACTTTTTTAACTTTAACATTTTGATAGAATGCAAGACTGTAATTAATAAATAATATTAATAATAATAATTTGCAAGAAATGAAATAATAATAATAATAATAATAATTTGCAAGAAATACATATTCCAGTATGGTGGTAAGTGCTCTTATCGTACAGGAGGAAGGTCATCAGAATGACTGGTAGTGTGAAATGTTCTCTGTATGTGGTCCTCGTCTGAAAAGTAAACAAATATAATATAATCTATATCAGAAATGATTGAAAAAGCAACTAATACTATTAAACAAGGGTTGTTGTAAAAAGATGTGTTTCAGATTTCTACATGATTTTTAGGTGCACAGACTCAGGTCACTTTCAAATGCTCAACAAAGAGAATCTGATGAAGCAAACAACCCTCAATACGTTGTCACTTGATCTGAAAAATCCACCAAAACAATACAAAAAACAAAACAAAACAAAACTATACAATACATTCATTGGCCCACCATTATTATCTAGCTAGCATAGTTATTATATATACATATGCATATACAAGAGAGTGATTATAACGTTAAGTTGATATAACTCGAAATATTATCAATATTAATTCGACTCGAATCTCTTCAATTATACAAACTAGTTAAATTAATATCCAGTATCTGTCATAGTCAATGTGTCGCACAATTGTGTGCCATTACCATATATAGAAAAACAAAAATACATTTCCAGTTGCCATTTCCGCTAAAACTCCACTCCGGTAGGTGGCAATGCAGCCTCTTTTAGACCAGCGTACGGACGGTTCTCACGCTCATAGAAGAAGTGCAGGAAGTATAACGTGTGTCTGTAACAGCTGAGCTGACTGATAGGCGAAGTCTGATTTCCATTCTAAATCCTTTGACAGTATAATTGTTGAGTCTCTGGGATGGAGAATGATATCATTGTCTCCCTCGAAGACTTGGGGTAGGTATAAATATAACACCAGCACTAACGGCTCTTCACATGTAGTCCGTGAACTGGACCGGTCTCTATATTTAGCAGCCTTGATCAACGTAGTTGTTTTTTTAGCTAACTATGTGGTTAGTGGAGTCGCTGCGCCTCGTTGCCGACGTGTTGGTGATTACAGACAACCGATAAGTCGTTTTTATGTCTCATAGGCTACGTCAGCAGAAAACACAAGGGTCCGAGTAGATCAGAATTTCACTCAAAGTAGTTGAGTGAACAGTCGTTAAATCTGGTCCCGTACTAAAGGTTACCTACAGAAAATGTATTTGGGCGTAATTACGGAAAGGCTCAGTGATAACAACTACGTATTGAATTCTACTGCGCGCGTCGCCAAATTACGTTCAAATTGTTGCTGTTAGATTTCGTATTCGATCAGTGACTGAGAAATGCTGTTAAATTAGCAGATTCGTACAAGGTGCATGCACAATTGATTTGTTTTTTTTTGTTTGTCCACAAGCTGCAGGACATCTGTACATGTATTGTCCAAGCCAGAATCAGACCCGGAACAAAAAGAAACTCCATAAAAAGTCGAGATCCAATTAGGGTCTTTGGTGTTTTGTGGTGGTTCTGTATATTAATGAAAGTTGTACATTTTGACTGATCGTCTTTTCATACTGTTCCGGATGACAACCTACAGTACTTGCCTTGACTACCATACTGTTCCGGATGACAACCTACAGTTGACTATCTCAGTTGTTTCAAGCGTTCAAAGGCCTAGTGCATTGTTTCCCAAAGACTGGGTCGCGGCCCTCAGGTGGATCGCAAGTCGTCTTGCATCATGTTTCCCAGGAGTTTACGAATATTGCCTATTGACTTGGGTCGCGAAGGTTTGTGACTTTTAAAATATGGTTCCCCAGAAAAAAAAAAAAATCGGAAACACCGGCCAAGTGTTTATTTTCTTCTGTGCTTAATGAACTGCTGTGCAAAGGACGCTGGGAAATGTCGCAGAATTGCTCAGGCTCCTAAGGATGATGTTAACTTAAGACAGAACCGTCGCTCATTGACATGAACTTCATTGTAAAACCATTAAATGTCATTTTTAAGACTCATTTTCTCAATAATATTTAAAGTAGTAATTTGATGAACTCACAGGGAAGTGTGTGGTTCTGTGGTAGATTGATTATTATATATGTTTGCGTGTTTGTGTGTGTGTTTTCAGGTACCAAGGCCCCCTTATGGAGGAAGGGGCTCTGGACTCTGCCGTCACTGGTGGGGCAGCTTCACCTGAGTTCACCAAACTCTGTGCCTGGATTGTCTCAGAGCTAAGGCTTTACTGCAAGTTGGAGGAGAATGTCCACGCCACTAACTGTAAGATATATGGTAGTTACGTTTTTGAAGTTGATCTATGTTGCCGGGCTATTTTTAGGCGGGTGTTTATCTCGACTTCAACCACTTAATCCTTGTTGCGTTCATTGGGACGCTGATGCTAATCTAATCAGTTTTTGTGTTGAAGGAAGACTACATCAGAGGGCGTCTTCTATGATGTAAATCAGGCATGGGCAAAATAAGGCCCGGGGGCCGGATGCGGCCCGTTTAGCTTTCTAATCCGGCCCGCCAAACTTTTCCAAATGATATAATTTATCTATATCTTTATTTATCACCATACTTTACCCACGTTTCCCCAATAGAGGGCGTAGAAAATGATAAAAGCATTTTAGCATTTAGCCTTAATGCATGACATTTACATGTCATTTATCTCAGTTCACACCAACGCTCCATCGATCTGCTTCTCACCTGGCCCCACTGTCAAATTTTAGGACCAGTTTTGGCCTGCGGGTCAAAAAGTTTGCCCTCACCTGTGTGATTTTTGCTTTTTACGCTTTTTGTTTTGACAGGACAAAAGTTCATTATCTTCTCATAATGCAACAATTTTGCACATTTTTGTTTCCCTTCAGGTCCAAGTGAGGCGGAGAGCTTCCAGCTGGAAATGAGTGGGCTTTTGTCAGAGCTCAACTGTCCTTACGCTGTCCTCAACAGTGGAAGCATCAGCCAAAGACTCCAAAACAGGAAAGACTGCCTTCTGCTCATTAGTATGTTTATTTTTTAAGCTCTTTAATAAAGTTTTTTTTTTTTTTTTTTTAAAAAAATTTACATGTAATACATGGTTTTACTATAGTAAAGTGCAGGGCAGGATAATACGAAAGCATTGCAGTTCATGGCTCAAATATGCATACAGTAGCATTTACCTTGTAAAGTATAGTGAACTTAACCTTTAATAAAAGAAGAAAAAAAAAACAGACCCTGAAGACTGATTTATACATTACAATAATTGCGCAGCATCTTGGGAATTTGATTGAATTCATTTTGTGTTTCAGCTTTTTTAGTGTCAGAGTTGGAGGCATCGAGAATGATTGTCGTCAACATTCCTCAGAAGAAGGGTCAGGACTCTGGTAGCCCCGTGTTTCAAGATTTAAAGGGAATCTGCATGACACTAGGAATGTCGAAGCCTCCCGCCAACATCGCAATGTTCCAGTTTTTCAGTGGAATAGAAAAAAAGGTCCGAATGATAACATTTCAATCCTCTGGTACTTTGAAGAGCCAACAGGTTTTTAGGCCAAGTCCACACAGGAAGCATGGCTATTTTGGGGGGGGAGATGTTTATTTAGGGTGAATATAAATCTACTTTTTTTCAGTCGGAGTCCAGAGTCTTTTCGAATACATATTTGTATCTTTTTTTTTACTCTGACCTACATGACGAATTTCAAAATAAGATGTTGCTGTAAAATTTGAAAAGTCAGATTTACTGGAAACATGCTCTAATCAAAAATAATTTTTTATTATGCCCATTTGTGATGATTTTGTAGCAGATTTAAAAGCATTGATGACAAGTCTATGGCCAGTGGTTTCTTTTGGACCCAGGTGTAGTTTATCATAACATGTCTCAAAAGGAAGTGGCTCTTTTTTTTTCCCCCAGTGTTGCTTAGATGTTCATTTGTAATTTAATTTTCTTGTTTTTCAGCTAAAAGAAGCCATCGGTCGAGTCCCACCGAGTCACGTAGGAGAGCCTTTGATGAAGAAGGCCTTAGGACCTGTGCACCTAGTAAATACTAAAACTAAAATGATATTGAAACAGAATCAACCCTGGAAATGCTGTGTAAGCCACTACTTTCTCTGTTTTTTTTTTTTTTTTCCAGGAGAAAATTGAAGCTATAAACCAAGCGCTAGTGAATGAATACGAAGTGAGAAGAAAGATGTTGCTGAAACGTCTTGATGTGACTGTACAGTCTTTTGGTTGGTCTGAAAGAGCAAAGGTATATTTTACACAAATTGTATATAAGCATTGTTACTGGAAGGACACGTTTGGCTGTGGATGTTTGACCATGTATCTAAAAGACATAGAATTGTCATTTTGGGGGGTTTTTTTCTTTCTTTTCATTCACAGACACGTGGTGAGAAGTTGGCCAAAGTTTATCCGCCTTTGCGTTCGGCACTATCTACTGCAAGTAAAATTTCTGTTGCCCATCTTCTGGCCGCTCGACAAGACTTCTCCAAGATTTTACGCACAAGCAGTGGCAAGATGAGAGAGAAGACGGCTTGTGCTATTAATAAGGTGAATTTAACAGAACATCCCTTTAATGGCCTTTAGTACTGTTTTTCTTCTTGTAATGTGTATATGTATGTATGTGTCTACATGTATGTATATGTGTGTATATGTATATATATGTATATATGTGTGTGTATATGGTATGTATATGTATATATATATATGTATATATGTGCATATATGTATATATGTGCATATATGTATATATGTGCATATATGTATATATGTGCATATATGTATATATGTGCATATATGTATATATATGCATATATGTATATATATATGCATATGTGTGTGCATATATATGCATGTGTGTGCATAATATGTGCATATATGTATATATGTGCATATATGTATACACATACATATATGCATATGTGTGTGCATATGTGTATATGTATGTATGTATATGCATATATGTATGTATATGTATATATGCATATATAAACTTAAACTTAAAAATGTATGTGTATATATATGTATATATGTTATATATGTATGTGTATATATTTATATGTATATATGTCAGGCCAATCGGAGATAATAGAACTTGAAAATGTGTGAAAATCATTTTACTTTATTTTATTATGTTTTTTGTTCAGGTCCGAATGGGTCGAGTCCCAGACAGAGGAGGGCGTCCTTGTGAGATTGAGCCACCTCCACCAGAGATGCCTACGTGGCAGAAGCGCCAAGATGCCCCACAAGGTGGAGGACACTACGGTGGGGGAGGACATGGAGGTGGCAGAGGGGGTTACGATCAGTACTCTCAAGGTGGCCGTGGAGGCTATGAGAAAGGACAAGGAGACAGGAGTGGGAGAGGAGGAGGAGGAGGAGGAGGAGGTGGTGGGAGAGGTGCAAAGGTGCAAGGAGGCTGGGGAGATGGAGGTGGAAGAGGTGGGTACAACCAGGGCCACTATCAGGATGGAGGAAGTCATCATGGGGGAGGAAGAGGAGCATATGGAGGAGGTGGGGGCAACCAAGGAGGGTTCCAGGAATCAGGGTACCATGGAGGTGGCGGCGGCAGCGGCGGCGGAGGAGGAGGTGGCAGTTACCATGACGGTTACCACCAAGATGGAGGATGGCATCAGGAGAGAGGCGGAGGTCGCGGAGGCCGAGGAGGCAGGGGAAGAGGAGGCCGTGGCGGAGGAGGTGGACAGGGGGGAGGATGGGGAGCTAGAGGGGGCCCTAATTTTAACCAAGGTGGACAGTTTGAACAGTTCTTCCAGCAGGGGGGGCAGTACTATAATCAAGCTGGCTTTAATCAAGGGAGACATTACACTAGTTGAAGACAGCCAGGGGGCACTGCAGCAGAGTCCACACAAAAAAGGACTATTTACTATCTGTCAATTAATATAAACAGGCCGAGCAGGTTATGCTAGACAAGTTAAAAAAAGACATGTCATAAATCTGGCAATGCTGTTTCATAATTTTTTTTTTTTCAGGCACATAGTGTCTTGAGAAAGTAAAAACTTTTTGGAGCCCAAATGCTATGCTCATTTTGGGATGATGCCATTAAATCAAAACACAAACCTTTGCACTACTACACAAGCTGCTACATGTGTTAGCTAGGCTTCTGACATGTTAATATTATAACGCGTATATAAATACCTTGATTTGATGGACTCTGCTGTTCTGACTCGTCTTGTGGCATATGATAAATCTTACGTTGGACATTTCTTTAAAAGACAAGGACTTTCTTTTGATGTTAATGTGGGTGCACATATTGTATCCAAGACGTTCCACACAAAAATCAACAACATAATTGCTCCTCTTGAATTTGGACACAATTTTACCTTTCCAGTCCTGATTTTGTTTTAGTAGATTTGACTGGGATTTCTTTATTTATGACGTCTCATCATGTAGAGATTGCATGGATGTGTAAATAAGCAATAAAATCTGAACGAATAAAATAACATTTTTTTCAGTTGGTAGAGCGGTGGTCAGAGATAAGTACGTTTGTTGTTTTGTTTTTGTTTTTTGAGTGAAAGATTGACTTCTTGTTTGAAAGATTATTTGTGACCCATAAAGTTCAGAAAGTGGTATTGATGGGTTCTTGAAACATTTCTTTAAATGTTATTTTTTCGAATTAGAAACTAAACTACCATCCCCATTGAGGGATGAAAAAGAACGTGAATAGAACAAACTATAACATTTTTTTGTTATATATGTCATTTGATGCCTGTGAGTTTGACTGTTCAACGGAGATTGCATGTGGCTGACAGTAAAAAATATTTTTCAAAAGCGATGCCAATAAAAATAATTCTGCCTCTCAAAGAGTGTGTCCGACCATCACGCAGTAATGTGTCCACTTCTCAGTGACTCCCAGTCAGAACTATCTAATCAAAGTCAATAGAAACTGAGCTACAACATGGTTTAATATGCTTTGCCATGGGAATGTATTAACTTC